CAGAAGAAGATTGAAGCGTTCATTGCGAAAGAGAAGAAGTTTCGTCGGGAAGAATCTTGCGCCATTGTACTCCGCTGCGACGGTTAACCTCCGCCTGAAAAAAAAAAAAAAAAAAAAAAAAGACTCGGTTGTACTATTTGATCCTGTGGAATGTACAGAGTAAAATTTCTTTCACTCATGAAGGTTAAAATTGGTATTTCACCTTCGTTTTTTTTTTTTTGAAATTGGGTTCTATTTATCTGTTACTCGTCCTATTTTTACTCGGTGGACTTGCATTTGACAATTGATCTGCACCGTTAATACGAGATCATGAAAATAGTATATGTTTAAATTAATATGCAATTTTATAACTATTAATTCTTTTTAAGTAGTATTTTTTTTAGTGAAAGAAAAAGATATAATTAAAGAAATTTAATCATATAGTTTGATTATTAATTATTTAGCTAGAGCTTATTATATGAATAGACTTTAATGATTAAGCAATAAAATAACATAATATTTTCCATAAATGATTATGAAATCAGCATTAATTTGAAAGCTTTAAACAAATTTCACCACTAATTCTCTCTCTAAAACCCATAAAAATTAATTATTTTTGTTGGGCTAAGTGATTTAATGTATTGGGAGAGGACAATTAATCATCAATAAATGATTTATGTTCATCATATTGTCCCCTCCATAATGTTTGTACAACAAAGTTTTTTTCGTTAGTATAAATGATTGAAAAAGTTCTAAATTTCCAAAAAAAAGTTCGAGTTTCTAAATCTATAATCCCATAAAATGTAAATTTATTTGTGGGTTTGAAACGTTTTTGCTTGTTCACATATCGTCTCGTTACTTGATTTTGTACTGTGATGTTTCAAATTCGAGAAAGAACGGAATAAGCATTTCTTTTGAGACTACATTCTAATGGTATGTTGTGTTTCTACTCCCATGACCCTCCGTAGTAAAGACTATGCTCGAAAAGTCGATGAAAAGTAAAAAGAAAAGAGAAATCCGAAAAAATGCTTTACTTAACATTGTGACACTCGAGTAAATGAGAGATACATGAATAAACTGAGACCACGTCCAAATGAGAGTGATTATGAGGATAGGATGACTAAAAAAAGCTTAATATACTAATAAGGTGTACTTTCATTCTCAGTGATTCAATCATAAAGACAAAACATGCACGAAAGACTTGTGTTGGTCTATGCGATAGTAACATGATCATTGGAGAGAGTGATCATTAGCTCCACCATGATTACCGTTTGAGTGTGTCTTTCCATTTGAAATGATTATATACTCTGATTCTAATGGACAAACCATAAGAGCAGACATGTTAATAGAGTTAGACAAAGATGCGAGACTAGTTATCAGGTCAGACAGACGCTTGGTTTGTAAGCTATCTCCTCTTAAAAACCCATTATTTAATAAGAATTTGTTACGCGCGATATGCCGACGATTTACTCTCGGGAATCATGGGTGTCGTAGAGCTTCTATAAAAAATACAAAAACGTATCGCCCCAAGTCGGCCTAAATGTATAGCCCACCACCTTTTTGCACTCTTTCCTCATTATAATGTTATCCTTCTTAGGGTTTGATTTAATGGAGATTTATGGTGGTGGGTACCAACACATAATGCCTCTTCAATTGGTTTTAGGTTTAGGGTTTTTCTTTAATGTTCTAAATAACATGCTCCTTGTCCTTATCCATAACTAGGTATAGCTTTATCAAATTTTGATGATAATAAGATTAATTAGTGAATAAACTATGTTTAATAAAATTAATCCTACTTTGTTTTTTTATTACTACGCTAATTAGGGCATCGAAATTTTAAAATTTCAACACGTGCGGGCTCTCGTCCATCTCACACAAGTTTACGGCTCTGCGACCCTTTTCTTATCGTTGACCTATTTCCAAACTCGAATGACACCAAAAGTCACATCAAGACACTATCCTATCAAGTTCATCTGGGTCAAGCTCAACAGTAGAGTTCCTAAATAGCTATAACTCAGTAAAGGCTGACCTTAAGAATAAGAATAAATAGGCTCTTAATTGATTAGCAAAACTCGTTGAATGAAGTTAAAGTTAATACTTGATCGAGTCAACCATTTAAAAAAATTAGGGATAGATTTGTAATTTAACGAAGAGTATAAGTTGACTTCAGATGTAATATTAATTTTAAAATGAATATTTTAAATTGATATGTACGACTAATTAACAATAAGTTAGGGCATAAAAACGAAAATTTTATTAAAAAGGAGGATCAATCCGCAAAAAGAATACGATTCTATTTTATTCCCATAAAAAAACACAAATATTCCTCAATAATATTCTTACAAATTTTTATATAATAAAATTACAATAAAAATTTAAAAACAAAAATTATAAAGTGAAATAAAAATATCGAAATAATTAATATTATTTTATTTAAACGTCTTTTTAAAATTGATTTAGTAAAATAAATTATTCTCGAAAAAGCATAATAATAATAATAATAATCATAATAATCATAAAGTTGGAAGTAAGAATTTAATGAAAAGAATATGACTTGTTGATGGTGTTAAAGAATGGTGGATAGTATAGGAATTAATATCGAGGTATCTTTTATATTACATCTATCTTTAAATAACATTTTTGTCGTCGATATTTAAATTTATTTTTAAAATTACATATTTAATTCTTATAATTTAAATTTAATTTTTAATTAGTATAAAATATTTTCTTTACTATAAATTATGCTTTTAAAATTAGTATTTTTGTATATTAAATAATGTATTAAAAGAACAGAACAATGTCAATTGTTCTTGTTGTCGGTGTATGAATAAGAGATTATTCTAACAAGAATATATATATATAAAAGAAAATATAATTAATTTACGACGTTTTTTTTTTTAATTTTTAAAATAGTCTGCTTAATCTTAAATTTTAGTCCGCATTAATTTTTTTTTTCTAAAGATCGGTCGGGTTGGAGTTAAATTATTTGAGTTTGTGACCCGAGCAACCTGAGTAGGTTTGGTTAAGTTGTTAAATTATTATTTAAAATATATATATATATATATACATCTATGATATATGTTACATTAATAACTAAAATTTTAAAAATTCGAGTATCAAGTCACAACACATCGTTAACATAATTATAAACGTCAAATATTCTTAATCTTTATTATAACTTTAAAAATACAGTAGTGACGGGTTAGGATATAACTCTATTTTCGAGTTAGTCCGGTTAACCTAATTCAAACCAGCCAACTCACCTAAATTTTTAGTTTTCTAAAAGTTCGATCCAACGAAATCATAAATTTTTTTTTTAACGGACTCAATGGTGTGGGTTGAATAGTTCGAGTTGTTCGATCCAACAAAATTAGAATTCTTTATTATTATTATTTTTTTAACGAACTCAACTTCTATGGTGTGGGATGAATAGTCCGAGTTAGTCTCATTCTTGGGTCACACGAACACTCCTACTTATTTATTGGTTTTTAAAAAGTTTTATATATAAATAAATTTTTATGCAATTAAATATTTTGGTTGAGTACTTAAATTTTAATCATTTCCTTTTCAATTTTTATTTCTATAATAGTTAAATTAATTTGATTATTAAAGTGTAAGAAATATTAGAGAAAATTATAAATATATAAATGACTTAATAAAATTATGACTATAATTAAAATAGAGCCCAACTCATATTTTCGCTTTTGCTGAGCTGGCCCAATATGATAAAATCTTTTTTTTTTTCTTTTTTAGGAAGGAATAGTTGAAATTTTTTATTTTTATTTAAGTTTTTTTTTTAAAAAATTAAAAACTAAAAAACTCTCCCGTGTTAGTCAAGGTTAAAATTGACCCGTGATAAATTTACACGGTTTAATATACTCAATTGACTAATATTTAGATGAGGAAAAACGAATCTCGAGAGAGAGAAAATTTTCAGGGGCGGCTACATATACGACAATCTAACACAAATAATAAAAAAAAATCGTGTGCCACATCATTTTTCAGATAAAGGCAAGACGCACTTGTACGGAGGGTGGTGGCATCGCGAGCAAAGATGGTAGCATGTGCATAGGGTCGAGAGAGAGAAAATTTTCAGGGGTAGCTACGTATACGACAATCTAACACAAAATAATAAAATAAAATCGTGTGCCACATCATTTTTTAGGTAAAGGCAAGACGCACTTGTACGGAGGATGGTGACATCGCGAGCAGAGACTATAGCATGTGCATAGGGCAGACTCATATTTGCATTTCATTGTTTTAAATTATTTTTTATTTGTTTTTATTTTCTCTCAATTTGAGTATTTCGTATTTAAACCATGACTGTGTTTTCCAGAGGAGAAGTTGTTTTAAACGTTTTTCGAAATTTATGTCATAAATGATGTTCATGTAAGAGTTATATTTCTGCATTGTAGATGAACATGAGACGTTAGTAACGACTCTGGGTACGTGAAAATTTAGGGTCGTTACAAGCATAATCTAAGAGTACTTGTAAATATGACACGAATTTAAACTCTCACTAACCGAGGTTAGACCTATCACTAATTAAAGTTGATTATTGATTGTTTGCATGTTTGTTTGCTATTATGTTTGTTACGAATATATCCCGATCAAATATTAATAAAAACTATCATGAATCGTCGGTTTAAACAAATATAAAAAAATAGTTTAAATATTATGAAATGGGCCTACTAATTTTGTTCTTTTGCACATTACTCCTTTCATTTGTACCTATTTTTAATTATAGCCCTCCTTTTCTTAGGGCGCATCCCGAGAAATATGATTAAAATTCACGACTTTTTGACTCTTAATTGAGTTTATATCAAAGTTAGTTGCCCTTCAATAATGAATCTTTTTCGATTTGGTCGTAGTAGATTCAAAATAGCTCCCGAGCAGTTTAGAACTAAAAAAAACTAGTTTTTTACAACGCTGTTAGTGTTCAAACTCGATGTTCGGGATTTTACATAATCACAAAGCTCATAACTCTGTAATATATTCAGCCTAGGAAAAGAACAACGAGATGAGACAATTAGAACGACACTAAATCGATAAGAAATGAAGTAGAAATATTACAAAAAATGTGAGACTAAGAATTTTTTCAAAATAAATAATTTAAAACTTTGTAAGAACGATAACAAAAGAGATGGGTTTGATATCTTGTTTGGCAGATTCTTCGTCCAAAATGGTACTGTAATTATGAAACAAAGACTCCAAAATTGCATCACCGAAATGGTGAGATATCATAGATTCTTGAATGGCTCTAACAGTCTTTGCCACTTCTTTCCCGTAGCTCTCGCCGTTTTTCACCTTCTTTTCTAACTCAAACTTCTCTATTCTCTCCAACCCGAACGACCCTTCTCTTTTTACTTCCTCTTCTATCTCATCTTTGTTCGGTGCGTAGAAATTCACGTCGTATCTATCTACCTCCTCCTCTTTCACTTTTCCCTATAATATAACAAACAAAATACATATTTCGTTATAAAACGCTCGACCCTCATCGATAATCCACTCTAATCCAATGTCGTTAAGATATACATGCCTGGATGAACAGGTCACCTGACATCACTATTGAAGATTCTTGATTACATTTTTTTAATATATATATATATATATATATATATATATTTTTTTTCTAAGGAAATTTATAAATAAAATAAAATAAAAAACCATTTAAAAAAATAAAGCAAACATTTTTATGTTTATTTATTTAATTTTTGTTACCTGCGAGACTAAGATGGCGAAGGCGCGAGCAAGAAGGTGCCACAAGAAGGAATTTCCTCTATCGACATGATCGGCACCGTCTCTTCCGAGCAAGATCAGCACCATCCGGCCGCCGGAAACCACCTCCTCCGCTCGCTTCCTCAGGAACTCCCCGAAATCTCGCCGGAATTGCTTCACGTAAGCCTCCGCTATGGAAATCGGACTCCTCTCCGATATATAAATGGTGCCTCTGTTCAGTGGTTCCCCCAATTCATTTCGAAGTCCCTCAGGAACCTACAAGGATGATCACCGAAACGAACAATTTTAAACATTAGAGAAAATCCAAAAAAAGAAAAAGGAAATAGCAATGGCGGCAAACCCTAGAAAGCCAGTGGAGGCTGTAAGAGGAATAGACAAAGTGCAAGCAATTATTGGGGAAAAGTCTCTGGTAAAATGAGCCTGGATAGGCCCCAATGAAAAACCCCGATGGATTTTGATTTTTCCCTTCGTTTTGAAGCTCTCTGCAGAAATCGGGGAGGGCTTTGAAGATGGAATTGAAATCGTTGGTCGGAAGGTCGTTCAAATAGACGCGGAACTCCGGCGGCGGCTGGAGATGACTGGAGCTTAGCGATTGAACGGCTTGGATTATTTCTTTGACGATCGATAGCGAATTTGGACCGGAGGAGCAGCCCAGATCGGCGATGCCGAAGCTCGCAGGAGCGCCGGTGGAAAGGTAAACTTGCTCTATGGCCTCCATTGTTATGTGCTTTACCATATCTGAACCTTTCTTCTGTTACAATCATGTGGTTTAGCCATTAGAAAACAAACAGAAAAGGAAGGAGAGAGTAGGACAAAAAACATTTCAATATATATATATATACATATCAGAGAGAGGACCTGAAGATGGGAGTTTTTGGCATAGCTATTGTTGCCAATTCCACCATTCATGTGGAAAACTTTTTCAATATCCATATGGGTGAAGATTTGGAGCTGGTTCTGGTTCTGGGTTTGGTTCTTGTTCTTGTTCTTCTCTACTTGGATGAGTTCTTTGTGTTGTTCAATGCCCCTTTTAATGGTAGAATTTGATGAAGTACGAAAGTTTTTTTGTCTCCCTTTTTTTTCTTTCTTTTTCTGGCCTCATGTTCTTTTTTATGATATTTTCTTTCATGAATAGTGCCTATTTACTTGCCTTCTTGGGAGGGGCCATCATGTTGGCTATTGATTCAAACAGTATTAATAAAGAATGGACGATTAGCAACAACTGAAACCTTTGGCATCTTGAGTTCTTACATCACCTTCACTGTTTGTAAATGAAACTCAAATTAACAACACATCCGATACTTTGGGTTTACTTTGTTTGACATTCCTCCCTCTGCTCCACTAAGCCATCTTGTACTACCACCACAGGCCCACTGGCCCACTGTCAGCAGATATTGTCCTCTTTTTGGGCTTTGACTTTCAGGCTTCCCCTCAAGGTTATTAAAACGTGTATGCTAGGGAGAGATTTCCACATCCTTATAAAGGGCTTTGACTTTCAGGCTTTCCCTCAAGGTTTTTAAAATGCGTCTGCTTGAGAGAGGTGTCCACATACTTATGAAGGGCTTTCTCTTTTAAGCTTCCCTTCAAGGTTTTTAAAACGCGTCTGCTAGGGAGAAGTTTTCACATCCTTATAAAGAATGCTTCGTTCTACTCCCCAACTGATGTGGGGTCTCACAACTAGAGATATTTCTTTGGTTTCTTTACATTTCTCCGAATAATCCCTTGGAAGAATAAGAATCTTAAGCCAACATAACTCGTAGAATAAATTAGGCTTCAGGATTCCCATCACCACTTCGTAAACTAATGAAAATATGTTCAAAGATTTAGAAACTGAGCTAACTTTTGGAACAAAAAGAAAAAAAGTCGATGAAAAGAAGAAAGAAAAGTGACAGTGAATTGTGTGTTTGAAGCTCATCTCATATGCCACTGCTTTTCTTTTTCCTCTGACTTGCGGAGGTTGGTTGGCAGAGTATGTGTTTTATTCCTTAAGATAAGGTTTTGTAAGCAAAAGCAAATTGTTCTGTGGAAATGGAAAACAAAGCCGACTCTATCAAATCAAGGAGTTGATTTATTCATTACAAATTGACATAGATTTTCCAGCATTGTTCATCCCAAAAGTTGCGGCTTTGGCCACGTGTAACTCAAGGGATATTCCTAATGTTGACCCAAATTAAGAGTCATTTTCTTTTTCCCAAGATGGGGTGTGGGATGAGTGGATCAGTGGATCAGTGGGGTGCCCATCACAAACTGATTGCACCATTTTCCTGTTTTCCACTACACCATTCATGCAAGTACAGGCCTACATTTTGGTTCTTGCAGCAATGGAGGACTTTTGGGTTTGCTATTCCATCAACCATGAAACTAAGAATAGTTTTGATTCCATTGGGGGACTTTTGGGTTTTTGCTATTCCATCAACCATGAAACTGAGAATAGTTCTGATTCCATTGGGGGATTCAAAACATCCCCTTTTAACTTGGACCATAGAACATGTTGGAAATATGGGTAAGCTTCTTCAAAGGCTCTCCCACTTACACTGTAACAGCCTAAACCCACCGTTAGTAGATATTGTCTTCTTTGGGCTTTTCCTTTTAGGCTTTCCCTCACGGTTTTTAAAACTGGTCTGCTAGTAAAAGGTTTTCATACCCTTATGAAGAATGTTTCGTTCTCCTCCCCAACCAATGTGGGATCTCACATGCACCTTCTTAACTTCTTTCATTCATAATCTCTCTACATTCGTTTGATTCTTGGACATCTTGAGATGTCCGAGTATGGTTAGCAAAACTTTCGTACTGCATGTACAAGAGTCAAGGTAACGAACATATGATTCTAGGGGTACTGAGAGGTGGAGTTGGACATTTTATAGGAGTGTGCAACATTTTTTCTTCTACCATCTACTTTTTTTATATATATCCCCTCTTTGGATGTGTACAGCGCGGTCTAACACACTAATCCCTACAGGTGTCCATAGTAGGCCGGCCGCCCTACCTAAACCAATCATCATACTGATCCCTAAGTCCCATTGCTGGAAAGGCTTGGCTTCAAAACGGTACGTGGAACATAGAAAAATTAGAAAGAAAACACCAAATTCTTAATTTTTTAACTCGTGGGTTTCGGTTTTGGTGATTTGTTTAGGTAGTAATGAAGCATTATGTGTTTTTAGAAGATTAGCATATGGACAAAAAAGAAAATTGAAGTGGTTGAATAGTAGTTTAACTAAAAAATAATCATAATGATTGCATTGAAGTGGAGTTTGATCATTTTATTGGTGTTGGATTATGGTGACTTGTTAGGAAATTATGGGTTTAAACATCTCTTTCTCTCCACATTTAAATGAACATGAATGGGGAGATATAATTGCTTTCAATTTCAAATATGCTCATACCATAATCCAACAGTTGTTCAAACAGAATTATGGAGAATCTAAACTTGTTTCTCCCATTAAACCCCCCTAGTGCTTTAAGCTTATTCGAGAAACAAAAACTACCCATATCGAAAAAGATCGTATCATTTCCGTTACTCATTTCTAGCTTGTTTGTTTAAAATATTTATTTTATGTCAGTTGAGCTATGTTCATATTAGTAGAATTTATTTCGTACGGTATTTTTAAAGAATTTTTAGTTCATTTAAGTTTAGTATGATGACCCCATTGATCATATACTAACTTCTTATTTGTTTGCTTGTTTAAGATGCTTATTTTATGTCCGTTGAGCTATGTTCATATTGGTGAAACTTTTTTCGTGTCTTATTTTTTAAAGAATTTTTAGTCCATTTAAGAAGTTAGTATATACTAATTTCTGACGTGTTAGGTTAAGATACTTATTTTATGTCAGTTGAGCTATGTTTTATATTGGTAAAACTTTTCTCTTCAGTTCATTTATGCGGTAGTTTGTAAGTATATAGGCATTTTAAAATGCACTAAAAGTCTACTTTTGTTGTAAAGATAATCTCGTCTAAACCAACGGCGAAAAATAATCGTGATATTAGTGAAAGTGTGACTTGGATTTTGTGGTGACCAAATCATTGGGGGAAAACTGGTCGGAAAGGTGTTATTTGAAGCCTATGGTTAAAAGTGGAGAAATGGAGCAAATAAAACACCGTACTAGAAATGGCCAAATTTGGGCACCAACACTGTGGAAGCACTACTCTAGAGCACCATGGTGCTACCTTATTGCTCGTCATTGCGCTTGTGTGATTTTCCTTCTCTTAACCTTAGTTGAGATTGTTATAAGTTAGAAAGAACTAAGAAAAGTTGTCTCGACAAACACAACGGAGTTAGACCATGATTTTGATATCGATACTGACTTGTATGATGTGATTTACTTGGAACATAAGAGTTTCTCAAATGGTCTTTTATTGACGGAGATAGTGTTGATATTATCTCTTACGTATATAATCATAATTTTTCTTTTATCTTGTTAGTGCAGAGTTCTGTCATATTTCCAACATCTTTCTTACCGTTTCTTCTTCTTTCCATTTTGAAACTCTTTATGCAGATGATTTCGTAAATGATGCACGTCTAGTGGGGAGGCGGTGGAAAGAAAAAGAAAAAAAATCTTCTCAAGTTGGACTCCCATCTCGATTCTCGTCCCACTCTCGTTTTTTTTCCTTTTTATACATTAGCTTAAGTTTCAAATTAGTTTATAGGTTTCAAAATCAAGATGTTCGAGTTGTCTTGAGCATGGGCCACATCATGATACATGGATCATGTTGTTGGGAATTAAGATGATGATGAGATGCAACGTTGTTGTGTGTGATCAAACAAGCTTAGACTCTGTACAACGATTTAATATATATGTGCAGACAGCATATGTTGTCTAATCGATTTAACATGCATGTGTAGACAGCATATGTGGTCAAACCGATTTAACATGATTTAACATGCATGTGCAAACAGCATATGTGGTCGAACAACCTTGGATTCTGTACAAGTGATGTTTGGTTGTGAAGATGGTGAAGACAAACCTTACTTAAGGTCCGACGAAGCCATAAAGTCGGGTGAAAACTGGGACTTGAGTCCTAAAGTCGGGTGAAAACTGGGACTTGAGTCCTCTGTAAAGCTTATCAAGAAAAAAGAAAAAAGTTTTTTTTCTTTTTCTTTTTAATATTATTTTATTTAAAAAAAAAAGAAAAACAGATCATCCCTCCCTTAATAATTTAATTTACATTTATTCTAATATTTAAAATTGCAACTTAATTATTATGAGATTTAAGAAATTCACATTCGTTTTCGAAAATTAAACTTTTTACGACTCTAAGAATACTATTGAACAAATTCTCGGAGATGTAGAATTGAATGAGAGCGGGGTCAAAGAAGTCATCCCTCTTCTTTGCCTCGACCCGATTCTTTGTCCTCGTCTCGCCTTGTCAAACACCTTAATACTAACACGAATTTTATTAAAAAAAAGAAGCTTAAATCGTGTGCAATTTTTACGAGTAAAATATGGTTCGAAATTAAAATTTATACATTCCTTCTCTAACTCCTCAATATTGTCCACATCATTACAAGTTCCATCCAACTTTTGAAATTTGGTTCATTGTTTGGGTGTGGGGCTTTCTTTTGTCTCGTTCGAAAGTGGAGTTATTGTAACGGATTTTGGGTGGATCAAATTTAGTTTCGACGATATTGTTCAATTCTCATTTATATGACTTGATAGCGTTGTTTTTATCTTTTCTAGCTAGATGCAAGCTTTGTTGATTGCGTTGATTTTCAATCCCTTCGAGATTTTTTTTCAAATATGGGCCACAAAACGCTTCAACTTCACATTCTTATGTTGTTGTGATCCAACGTTAATTCCACTTTTCTTATGTTGTTGTGCTCTAACGTTACTTCACAAAAATGATGATTTGAAACACTGATATCAAATTATTATCTTTTGTACTAATCATAATGTGTTCTATGAGATAATAAGTTTATTCGAATTTTGTCATCGTTTGTCCTTTTCTTATATATTTTTTTTAAATACAAAAACCCTTTATCCAAGAACATTCTCAAAATTCGCAAAAGAATTTATTAAATTTTCTTGAATTTTTGTTACTTACGAACTCTAGAGCCACATGTGATACGTATATTTTGAAGTTTCAAAAATTATTTCGAAAGTGTTTGTAAGATAGTAAGACATCATGTCATAGTGATTATATGTTCGATTCAATATCAAAAAAAGGTATTACTACCACAAATTTTCAAGCACGGTATCCAT